ATCTAACTACCTACCTCTTTCTTCCCCACCCACCCCCCCCCCTTCCCTCCGACAACCGTCTTTCCTTTCACTTCCCGTTTTGTTTTTTTATATTTTTTTTTTTTTTCTTCTTTTTTTTTTCACCCCCCCCCCCCTTTTTTCCCCCCCCCCCCCCCCCCTTCTTCTGCAATCTTTCTATAACTCTCATCAAGTTTATTTTGCCTTTCTCTCTCTCTCTCTCTCTCTCAATGCTCTTGAATCCTTTCATTTTTAACAAATATTTCTTCAGAAGAGTATATTAAATGTATAGATAGATATTTCTCAATCCCTTACACCTTTCTTCACACAAACACACACAACACGTACGACTCTTCATGTACGATTCTTAATTTGCTCTCTTAAGGAAAAGCATCCGGCAGGACAAAACTCGTGAGAATCATCTTTGAGATTAAAGTGCTGAATAGCTCTAAAAGGAAGACAGAGTGAGTGCTTACACTTGAATTGTCTCAAAATCAAAAATGAAAATGATAATCTCGGTGGAAAGAGTAAAACAGTTGGAAGCCATTATTTAACAAATTATGTGTGAGACGCATGTGAAGCCAATATGAACAATGATGTTTTAAGAAGAGAATGAACGAAAGCTCAACCAGCAAATGATGGTATGAACATCATTGGGAAAGAAAAAAACTGAGGAGAAGCCGATCACAAAGAGAAAGAGAATGAAATAGATGGATAGATAGATTGCCATAGAGGAATGAGGCTGTGCCAATGCATGGAAAGGCAGACTGTATACATCATATATTTTTTCGAAATTCGTCTTCCTATTTAGCAAAATATTATTTATTTATTTAAAATAAAAATTCATTTTGATGATAGGAATTAACTCATCAATTTTTAAGGAAATCCTTTCAATCGTTAATTAGGCTGATTAAGTTTGTTTAGAGGCAAAAGCATAGAACTTGAATGAAATCATGTGTAGCGTGGGACTAGACGTCAAGCGGAAGAAGACAACGGGTGTGGCGAATGAAGTAGTAGACGTAGGAGAAGAAGAAGAAGAAGGAGAAAGAAAAAAAAAGGAGAAATAGAATTAGAAGAAGAACCTCAAGACACTAATATATGAATAACGTCCAATAAGGAAATTATTATTGTGAGTATAAACTTCCGAGTATAGAATATTCACATGGTTAAGAGAATTAGAGCGTTCGAGACGAGTCAAAACTCTGTTTCCACAAAATTGTTCGTATAGGCCTTGAGTATTGTTGATGGTCAAACATGAATGGAATTAAAATAAAAAAACATTTCAAATGCATAATTAATTGAAGCGACAATGATCTCAAGACTACGAAATGATATGGAATGCCACAGTGAGCTTTTAATTTTCACCTGTCTACATTGAACGTTGAAACAAATGAAAGCTGTATTAGACTTTAATTTGTGAAAATGACAATCTCAGCGCAATCAACGCCAAATAGGTTAAATTATTCTGACGTAAAGTAATGAAACTAATTTAAAGCTAAATATGGACGTCTGAAAGACATTTTTTCATTTGATTTAAGAGAGATGATGAGAGGTGAAAGAGTAGAAGAGGAAATCTAGTGGATGTTGAAAGAAGAAGACATACAGAGAGAGAGAGAGAAAAAGAGAGAGAGAAACAGAAAGACTGGAGGTAAAGCCGATCTTTATAATTTTTGACAATAAATGTAGATGCTTCTTCATAGCTAGTTATTAGACGATGACATCACATGCAAATGATAGTGATTTTCAATCTCTTCAGACTCTCTTACGAAATCATTTACATAAGAGGTAAGGAAGTATAAGATAACTATTAATTTGTCATATTTTCAAAATTTTGAATATATAATTTGAATTTAATACCTCCACAACCTTCTCTCTTTCATTCTCTCTACTTTCATCTGGCAATCGGTTTCTTCTTCCTCAATCTCGTTTTTCTCGAATCCTTCCGATTCCATATTCAGCTTTCATTCATTCTCTCTCTGTTTCTCTCTGTCAATGTTCATCTCTCTAACCTTACCATTCATTGAAACAATCAAATTTTGTTTTTCCGATCTCACATATCTTATGAAAATTCTTAAAATATTGAAAGAAGTAATCGGGATGAACTGCAAATCCAAGGGTTTCTGTGTCTATCATAGATTATAATCAACTAATTCTGCTATTGTCTTTTCATTTTTACGAATTTTTCAACAAAATCTCATGAAAAGCTGAATAAAGCAGATAAATTCTGTGAGCTGGACGTCAGCTTTTGACGTTTTTCTCTTTCCTACATCTCAGAAGATGAAAGAAAAAAAGTTGAAAATTTGGAAAAAAAAGCTCAAATTTTCTACTCCCCTCCTCTTTCTCATTGGGATAACGAAGAAAATCGGTTTCGAACTTGTAAAGGAAAGGCTAACAAGCTCTCAAAACAGACTTTTGCCAACACAAGGTTGAGATGAAGAAGAAATTATTTTTCTCACAGGAAAAATATAAATAATTCTGAATGTTATGAAGGAAATGATAGTTTGGTGATCAAATTTCATGTAATAAAACATTA